AACTCCGTTCCTTGGTTGGAATTCGCGTAATCCACGTAAATACGTTTTTACGAGTTCGTCACCGACGTTTACTATTGCTTTTTATTCGCGAGCTTTCGCTCGCCTCGCCTTGTGCTTGCTTAATTTCGACAAATCTAAAGAAAATTCTAAATTTTTATTTTCTATCGATCATTACTGTTACTATAAATTTGGTATAATTATTCAACCTATATCCTTCGACTGTTAACTTTTCTCTTCGAAATAAATCGTTAAAATAACTCGAGTCTTTCAATTATATCAAAATTAAAATTTTACACTTCTTGGTGAATTGATGGTTAAGATTAGTTTTATCTGTTCTGCAATTAGTTTTGCAATTTGTTATATCTTTACGTTAATGGTGTGCTATCGTAACGTAACATATCGTATCATATTTACTTATTATTCACTATAACTTATTTTTTTTAATATATAGCAGTATAAATCTCTAATTTACATATCTCGGCGCATCTGTTCGATACAAGATATTTATATACGTCGTTGTTCGTATTTGAGAAATAAATCCGCGAGAACCGGCAGGGCGTGATAGCACGCCGACGGAAGAGTCGTCGACTGACCACTTTCCTCCCCGTTGTCGGCGAACGCGTCAAGTGCAAATTGCAGTAGATTTAGACGATCTGGGTCAGACCCTCCGCCGTGCATAGGTCATCGGAATTGCGACCGAGCGCTCCGCGATTAAAACGAATCCGCAAATGTGAAAGACTCAGGTTTCTCTGAACGGGTTTCCCTGTACGACAGGAGGGTCTTCCTTCTCTCAGCCCTGGAAGCCTCTTATTATCGCCCCTGAAATCGTACCTGCGTCGGGATCGAGCTTCTTGATTTACGATCTGAGATACGAGACTGCGCGTATCGCGGCTTTTACAGCTCGGACCACATATACGACTGATCTTTTCATATCATTTCATATACGCGCGAGACCGCGCTCGTGAAACCGTTTCGATTCGCGGAATTTTTACGAGGTGGTTTCGTGCGGTACATTGCCGATTTAATGGGTGGGCTGAAGCAACACGCGAAATTCAAAGAAAGTTATCACGAGTAAATTGCATGGCTGCAATTAGATTATAATTAATCTTTAACTGATAAGGAGAGAGAGAAAGAAAGAGAGAGAGATAGACAGAGAAAGTCACGCACATGCTATGAGAACGAGATTATTGATACTTCTAAATTTGAAAGTGAGAATGTAGCAATAAAAACATTTTAAACATACATCATCCATTTTGCTCCTAACGAATTTTTTTATTCATCTGAAGCGCTAAAGATATTGACTGGAAAATGTCTATTTGATGAATGTAATTATCACAAATACCTCAGTACAGTCGGAGTTAAGGGTTGCATTACAATAATTAGATACCCCATTAAATTGATTGCTCATAAATAGCGAAGTACATCTCTCAATATGCACGATGGAAACACCAATTAGTTTAATCGAGTCTCATTCATTTTCTGACACATATCACGTGCGGAACGAAAGCATAATACAGCCGCGGCGACGCGACGTTTACAAATGTTATACCTAAAATCGCGCATTGTAGTACGCGCCAAATTATTTATGCTGACTTGTCGACTAGGTTCAACGCATGCAAACCGTCAATCGCTTAATTCGCACATTAATGAATTTGGACTTAAATTTATTTATTACTTTTATCGCGTCATTTTCGTTTATGGAAAACCTGGTTGCACAAAGACATAACGAATGGCGCGCGGTCAGTTTATTATTTGCGGGTAATAAATTATTTAGGGGTGACATTTAATATACTGGCGATATAATCTTCTTCAATTCTCAAGATGAAGATAAAAAACAATTTAACGCTTCCCGGTACGGGATGCGCAGCAGCGGCGTTTTCTCCACGGCGACTATATCATATAGGTACCATTGTTTCGCGATTCTGGACTCGGTTGATTATCGGTATCACGGTTATGCATATATGTATAACATCGCGTTCAACTTGCCATGCCTCGGAGTGCCTTCGCTTCCGCGTGAGCAACAATGGTATGGAGAAACATGCAGAGAGCTAGCGCAAATGCGATACATTTAATCGTTTGATGTGGAGATACGAGGCTATTTGCCTATGTACGCGCGCTCGTAATTGAACACATTTATATTCACCGAAGAAACGGTGACTCGCGACACACTCGTCGTCATTCTCGTCATCAAAACGTTTGCGTCGTTTCAAAGGATTGTCAGGCCGGCTAATAGCGGGGCTCTTTAATACGTATATCCGCAGAATTTCTTCACAAAGAAAATCCAATTAGCGGTGCGTATGGCGAGTGTCAGCGGCTGTATTTCCCTTCACGTTCATTATCATAGCCGTAGTCCATTAATCGGGTTATCAAATGTGGCGAGGTCGATCGTTAATGTCGATTGTGCCTTATTGAACACCGCCATAAATCCCGTCGATCAAATTATATGTCGCGGGTAATGAGCATTTACGATAATAATATATTATAATAATACTTATATTATTAATCCGCGCGTTATAATGTATAAACGGTAGCTTGTTAATCGCATGATTGCATTTATGTGCAGTTATGCTGCGCCAGATTTACTATATTATAGGTACATAGCGCCGCTTGTTATTCCCAAATAGACAAATCGCACGGATATTTTCCATGTATATAGGTACGTGATACCGTATAATCCACTGCACTCTAGCGAATATGCTAATCATCGGCGCTAATCGGCAAGCTCCGCTACAGAATTAAAGCAAAAACCAGTTACGCATGAATTTGATTTAATGCCGCGTTTCGTGCATCGCGCGCAACGTTGAGAGAAGATAAAGAGAATTTTCGCAAATATATCAACTCGATATTTCTTATTGTCACGACAAAGAAAACGGAGAAGACATTTCCATCGAGCGCCAGCCAACTTCCGGTTGGCTCTCTTTTGCGAAAGCCGTACCTTCCCGAGCGCGTTTTAAACTGCAGTAAAAAAAAATTCTGTGTCAGTTGCTCAAGATTAGCGTCGTTCTTTAAATATAAAATGAGAATTGTTACAAAGCACGCAACTTTTTGCCTTTGATCTTTTCCCTTGATTCACGGACTATACAGAAAAATTAATTAGAAGACTCATTGTTGAAAATTATTACATTATTATTATAGTAAAGAATTAATATTTTTCGACAAATTATTATTGTGAAGATTTTATTTCTTTTACTATTTCATTTTTTCACTATTATTCTATTTCAGAAGCAATAGAATCTTATGTGAATTGAGAGCTGCGCTTAAGGATTGCTTTCTATTTGAACGAACGCGTCTTTTAGAGTTCCTGTTTTCAATCGAGTCGGATAATCTCGAAAAGAAACGCGTTATTTCGCTAGCATTGATTTAAGAATCGTTCAGAACGGAAGAAAAAGACGGTCTTCGTTTATAAGTAATTAATTGATAAGTTAACATAAGAATTAAAAAATATTGCACGGAAAGTATGGCAATGCAACTGCAATAGATCTTTGAAAATTACTCGAAAAATATTCGAGGCAGAAAACTAACGTAATGCTCTTATGCGCAATCAATATTTACTTTTTCAAAAAATATTGCAGCACCAAGAGCGGTACGCAAATACAATAAATAGTACAGTTGTATTTAACTAACGAAATAAATTTAAATTAATATCAGTAACATACAACTTTCTCGCAAATTATTAGCAAAGTTATTAGTATTGGATGATATTTATACAATTACAGCACTCATGATCATTTGCAGGTAGGCATACTCAGTTACGTATAATTTATTAATTACATAATTTATATCACAATTTCTATTATATAGACTTTCCCTACACAAATATGTATATTATTATCGCGCTTTGTGTCTTCTGAATAATTATTTGCGATACTTTGAGAATTAAGAGATTTAAAATAATAGTTAAAATATTCCCAAAAATCAAACCTCTCAAACAAGTTAAACATCTTGTCTCGACATTGAGAAAAGCTCGCGGTTGTAATACGTATTTCACAGGAAGAAGGAAGTCATTCGCGATGCCAGCTGAGAGGAAGGAAGCGATTTAATGCGATCTCCTGGATCATTTTTCAATGCACGCTACGTGAAGATGCGATGTCTATTAATACGTAATCGGTTTTATGACATCGCGAGTCATCGTGAAACGCCATTTGGAACTCGTGCCGATTCTTGCGAAGTGGCATACATGCACAGAACTATCAGTATAATTTTACATCCTACAAACAACATACACAAGATACGCAAAAAAACAAATAAATTCTTTAAAAAAGATTTTAAAAATTTTATTTAAATAATTTCGTCTTATCGTATTATATTTAAAAACTATTGTTTATAATATTAATACATACGATATTACTTTTCCTTCTGTAATATTTTTATTACAGCATTTTTATACCATAATATTAATGTTTAAGGATTCTGAGATGACTCTTGTAAAATTCTAACTAATCCTACAAGTGTATATGTATAATTATTTGAAGTTTGCATTTTTTATACTCATTAAAAACAGATATTTCAGTCAGATTTTGTGTACATATAATTATAAGTTTCTATATGCTTAAAGATTTATCTTTTATATAAATATCTATTTTTATTTCGTTTCTGTAGGTACCTACATTGATTTGCGAACCACTATGTTCGAATTAACGAGATACTTCTTGTCTTTCTTTTTGAGTACATTATTTCTGTTTACTTCTGTATGAGTAAGTATCCTATGCTTTGACGTCTTAAATGAAGTAAGTGAAATTCTAGTGTGTTTACTTTTATTAACAGTTTCTCTAGTTCATTGTCAGTTACTTCCTCGTTTATTAATAATTGCATGTTTTGATGTCTGTCTCCATGCGACGTTTATCTGAATGTCTCGGAAGTGCATCTTCACACATGGACATCTGCATAAGCAATCGGAACCGGAACCGGGCGCGGATGCACGCGCGTGTATGCGCAACGGCGTGTATGCAGAGTGTGCCGGTATAAAAGCCTAGAAAATACGTTGCTAAGTTGCAGTTCTCACCTAGCCGCCTGAAATATCGTAATGGTGAAGATGACTTTCAAGGTAGAGTGTCGAAACTCGTCGCGAAGAAAAGAAAAATTACGCAGATCGGAGAAAGTGTTCATTAAATAATATAGCTCCGCGACATATAAAAAAATGGAGAAAGAAATAGAAAAGGAAAGAGAAAGAAGCGAAGGGAGAGAGTGAAATATGTAGGGCTAAGAAAGGAAAATAAGGGTGAAGAGGGACTCTAAATTGCCAGTAATTACGCACGCATAATTGGTCCGGTGGTAGGGAAGGGTCGACGAAATAAATAATTCGGGATAGGGCGGGAAGGTAGTTCAACGCGGTTTTGTCGGAGACCTGAGCAATGTCGTGAATGTAAAATGGGATTAAAGTGTTGCTTGACATTTAAGTCTACTCGATGTAATTAGTTCGTTCAGCCGGATTGTCGCAAACGTAAGTTTTTGCTAAAGATAGTGTCCATTTCACAGCACAGCAGGACGTGCTCAAGAGGTGGGTTCTGGGGTTCAACTTCATGAAAATTAAAAAGTGCCCACTGACTTGCAACGCTTCTCTTTAATTGTATTAAACGCTCGCGTTCTTTTATACTTGGCTAATCTTGAGATTTTCTCAACCTCAGAAGTCTTAGTTGTTTTATTATAGCTATAACAGTTCTATTATTTTCTCATGCATATATATGTGTAGGAGAGTGAATAAATTCTTTCTTATATAGTTTTAGCGCAAACTTGCGTTTTGTCTCTAATGTAGGGAAATATAAAGCCACCGAAGCTTTTAAATTAGCCATAAAAGAGCTTTTAAATTAAGTTATTATTCTGATGATAATAGCCTTTAAAATTACTTGTTTATAACATGCTTCAAATTTTGCCCAGATTATAATGTAATATCTATATGACTCGTGATAATGATACATTAAATATACATGATATCTCAAAGTTTCATAACTCGACAAGTGCATATAAAATCTTACATAGTACATGTTAACATGCACATATTCTATCTCTTTTTACATATATTCTACTATATATCAAACTTAAGCGTGCACTTATATATGCAATAATGCAAACTGTACTTTCATGTGCATATTTTACATGTACAATTACTATAAAACAGTCTGCATGTGGCATTAGTTTTGACAAAATTTGCATAAAATAAAATTATAATTTGTATTTATATTATATATCTTATTGTGTAGAGTAACGATTTGCTTATTACATCAATTTATAATTACATATAATTGAAAGGTTTAAAATATCGAGTAAAAAACTTTTATTTCAAGACGCGGAGACTGATGAAGCGTACAAGCAAAGACGAAGAAACATTCCTCGATAAATCGCGCGTCTATTTCTTTCTTCAAACGAGTTACTTCCGTCGGACTGATTCATGTTAGTTTGAACATTGACGACCGGACTTTGGGATCCCCGTAATTAAAAACGAGAGGTCAACGATCCGCTGCTCGATACCGATAAATATCGCAAATTTCTAGAGTTTCATCATGGCATCGAGTTCGTATACACAAGTGACATCGATCATACAGATCACATTTCCGTGCAATTTCGATTTGTCGGACTACTAGTTTAAAATATTCCAATTTGTTTGACTGTTTATACGTGCGCACAGGAAAAGTATGACACTAAAACACGTAAAAATATTTAAATTACGTCTCCCTTCGCTCGGCAATTCCTTTCCGTCAATCAATATTATTTTACAATAGAATTTTTTTCTAAAAGAAGTATTTTCCCCATAAATAAGAAAATTATAATAGAGACTGGCAGATTACACGAAGACTTGGGTCTCGGTAAAAATATGTCCAGCGCTTATGTAAACGAACTCTTCGGTTCATAACGCATGCTATTTACAACCCATGATCGATACCTATCAGAGCATCGAAAGCCCCTTCTGCCGTGCCGGAGGTTGAGTTCCCGGACAACACGACACCGTCGACATAAACTTCTTGTGTCGCAGGTCACCGTCGCACTAACCATCGGCCTCGCCCTGGTCGATCGATCAATCGGTGGCGTGATACCGCTGGACACTCATGATCATCATGTCTCGGTGGCCAGCTCGTACATGCATTTCCAAGGGCCGGTACAGGGACCTGAATACGAAGTGAAAGTGCCGCACGTACCTGTGGACCATCTCGGCGAGCACAACTATCTGACCCACCACGAGCATCGCCATCACGACGGCTATACGGTCGACTACGTAGGGAAGCCGAAGTACGAGTTCTCGTACGGCGTCGAGGACCATCATACCGGCGACTTTCACGGCCAGAAGGAGTCCAGCGACGGTGAGTGAAAAGGACGAGTCACTTTTATGCCTTCGTGACTTTCACGCGGGATGACAACGACAAGCCGAGTCTTTGAATGACCGGCTACCTGTGGCTACCGCCGTTTATCCGATTTCCAACGTGGCGACGCCGACGACGGCTCGGCGTTCTGACGCTGACGTCGGCAAAAATTGCCACGGGTGAAAAGAAAATTGCATTTCTACGGAGACTGCCCGCGAGCACGCCCTTCCGACACGTCGAGAATACCGCGGGCCGGTATGTGCGAATGCTTGTGCGTGTGCGGGTATGGGAATGTGTGCGTTTTCGTGTCAACTCTTCAGTTGGAACTACGTTTTCTTACTTGAGTCGTGAAGTTGACTCGAGGAATTGTAAACTGGCTTCAACGGCGCATCGTAGTTGTACAAGCGTCTTATATAGAGATATAAACTTACCCCAAAAGTGAGCAAACTTCGCAGATGCATTCCTTGACCAAGTTAGAATCAATTCTTCCTTAGCGAAAGTATCGAAGTATTTGGTTTACAAGCGATTTGAGCTACAAACGATTGAAAGTGAAAGACACCTCGGAAATTACGATTCAGGAGTTCAAATAAAGAAAGCTTCGTTTTGAGTAGGCTTTGCTTGAACGGAATTTTGATTCAAGTTTTAAACATGTCACAATATTTAATATTGAAGATATAAAAAAATTATGAGAGACAAGCATTTCCGATCAAACTCCTCCAAAAAATTAATTTTGATTTATTCAAGGGATATGTCTACGAAGTTAATTCAAATATTCTATTTAAATTCTGTATAACTGTAGGTCTGAATTTATTTTATTTAGAAGTACATACTATCGAGATAACTAAACATTGTGATCCTATATCAAAACCAATATATTTTCTAAATAAATTTAAATTTTCATTATCGCGAACAATTAAAAAGAGAGGAAAATAATAAAAATCAAGAGGTAATATTTAGAAATTGTTCTAATTCTGGAATATTTTAGTTATCAGAAAAATTCTTCGCAAAATAGGATTTTTCTACAAAATAATTATTGATAGCAAACACATTTAGACTGACGTTTCATCATTTCCAGTTACGACTATCCACAATCTCGAACTGTGTCAAGAAGAATCCTTTTTGCCTTTTATCAAATGTTCTTTTCCGCAGGACACAGCGTGTCCGGGGAATATACCGTGAAAGATCCAGGTGGCAGCCTTCGGATCGTTAGCTACCACGCGGACAAGGAGGGATTTCACGCGATGGTACACACTTCCGGGAAGAATGATCACTCGGGTGGGGTCTACGGCGGTCAAGGGCACGACGATATCCAAGGCCACCTTCACGAGTACGCCGCGTTATCCGCACACGCGGCAGCGTACTGAAAGAAAACTCGCGGCCACCATGACAACCGTGACTGATCGCTTTTGCATGTACCTGGCACGATTATAGACTTTTCCTTTCCCGAATCGTCAACGTTGATGTTTCCGTTTTGTATACCAAAGGCAACAACGGTGCTATCCGTTCGACATTACATTACGCAGGGATAACGTATCGTATATATTGTAAATATAGTTCATCCCTTTATACACGATGAACGAAATAAACATGACGGGAGAATGCATGTTTATTCCTTTTTATATTATACGAGCAGCAGTATTGCCATGCTTTCCCGATACAGAATATGAAAGTTTTTTGACAAACCGTGATAGACACGGAAACTATATGAATAAGGATTTACAAAATTAATAAAGGTTTCCGATAAATAATTGACGTTCGCTTAATAGAAATAACCCGATCGAAAATATATTTTATTAAGTATTCTTTTATGCATATAACTCTTTTTACGTTTATCGAAAACCTTTTAATTGATTAACATTTTAATCGAGCGTCCGCGTTTATTCAAAAATTTCCATTGAAATGGGTAAAAAGTTAAATATACAATATGAGCTACCCGCAAGTTATAATTACTCAATTTGCGAGAATTTCTGCGCTTTGCTAAAATTCCTCGATGGCCCGAATTTTGTCCGGATTCGTTAAAAAAAGCAATATAAAATATTTGAGAAATATAACATTTCTGACAAATATAATAAAATGATCATTTTGTAATCCCGACTACAATATTCTTTACTCGAAACGATATCAACAACATTACTATTTATATAAATTTTCATGCTCTTATGAATTTGACGGATAGTTACAGATGATACATTTCATTACAAAATTATAGTAGTTTACGACAAAAACACAGTGACGCACGCTCAAGCCGATTAACTGATATACCTACGGCTGAGCTGATTATGGAAGGTATACGAGAACTATGTCGCAACATATTACATCGCAACTCAGAAAGATAAAGTGACAATGATAATACACATGTGGTGCAATTGTTTTAAAGTTGTTCCGTAAATTATCTGCCCGCGCATTTCAACCGGGACGCGACGTAATATACACATACCGTAATAACATGAAAGTCACATTGTTACGACGTGGAACACCTTATTACGTGGCTATCGATCATTAATACCGGGAAGCTGCGTGGCAGAAGATTCGCTCGCGATACACGTAAACGACAGGAACGCGGCGTTGCGGCGGATATCGCGCTCTAATGAAAATAAACTGCTCGTAACAGGGGCACACGAGTAATAACTTCTGATGCTCTAAAGTGCGAAGAGATTCCAATTGCCACTAATCATCGGGGATTATCGAGTAACGAGTGGCGCAGGGTCGATTCGCCGGCAAAATGAAAATCCGGGTCACGCGGGATTGAATTATCCATTGAATATTATGGGCGTGCAGGCTACAAGTTAAAACTCATCGTCAGCGGTGCCGTTATAAAATGAGCATGAGAAAAATGCGCTTCTTTTTATATGTTTTAACACGGCGTTAAAAAGCTCATTTAGAACTTTCCATCTCTCTCTTTCTCTCTCTTTCTTTTGTAGCGCACGGTTAATTTTTGCGTGGTTAATATACTCTAACGCAATTTCTTGTAATTACTATTTCAAAAAGAATATACTTTTCAAAGTATGCAAAAAAAGTGCGCGTTTTATTTATGAAAAAACCATTTATCGAATAGTCGCAAAACAAACGTCACATGCAGATGGACATTAAAAAATTGTTTTACGAATGTTATAAATGCAACAAATTCCAGGAAAATAGGTCAATGAAAGGCGAGTCAAGAATACTGTAAAATGAACTGAAAAGCAGAAAGACATGTTTTGTGCAGATTGTAGAACAGAAGTGATATATGCATGATAACTGTCGAAGGTTTTGAGGTGATTCTTCCGCGATGTATCGACGAACGAAAATAAAAAAGGAAGAGCCATTTAATTCGATCTTATCATGTTGGAACAGGCAAAGACGGGCACGTCGTTAAACTACATCTCGTGCAATCTCTCCGGTAATGACGAAACGTCGTTATCGAGAGTGTTTCGAGGAAAAACGCGTAATCCCGTCGAGGGATATATCCAAAGCAATATACTGTACGCGATTCAGGAGAGATAAAAGAAACACATTCCCGAGCTAACAATGGCGCGAATACATGAAGAGATGTTGGAGGAGAGGCAGATTGATAAAAAATCAATGCCAATACTCTAAATATTACGTATATTATGTCATTAAATCGATAACGATGCTTCCGATAAATATTCTCGACACACGTGTTGGAGCAATGAATCAGCAACGTGCATTTTAATAAGCGACGAATCTCATATCGATAAGACTAAATGCCGGGAGAGGAAAGTGTCTAATAATTTCATCACGCGTCGCTTAAAACTTGCGCTCGCGTGACATATCGAAATCGCGCCCGCTGCGACTTACCTACGTACCGTCGTCGTCGTTTCGAACGGTCGCGATAACGACTGTACATGTAGATATTTCAGGGTGTTTCCAACCCCGGGAGTCGACCGCCTGCGGCAATTTCCGCAGCGTCGCGCGAGCTACTAATTACTGCTGGCATCGCGCTGATTATTCCTCCCGCTGCTCGCACCCTCAACAAATCGCTCGTGATCGAGCGCCCCGCCGCCGCGCCGCGGCGTAAATGTCGCATGCTGTCTGACAAAGGAGAGTTTATATGGTTTACCTCCGACGTGATTCTCAGCTGTGTTTGAGAGAATTCTCTGGAGAATGCTTTAGAGCAAATTTCATCACGCCAGCACACACATTACCGAGAATTTTGTATATTCGAAAATATGAGTTTCGTCGTAGGAAATTTAGAAAAATTTGGAAAATTTCACATCATCGTTAACGAGCTAATTTTCTACAGTTAATAATGAACGATTAATTATGGCAAAATTACGAGAGAGGTATTAAATCAATGCAATTACAATTTTAATTACGGTATATCGTGTAACCATGTTCGAGTATGGATTTTGCCTAAAATATCCTCACATCCTTTTATCAACCGGTTGATAACCATCGCTTACGCCCTGCAAAGTGAACAAATTAATAATTCATATTGCTGATTGGAACGTACGATTGTCGCAATCAAGGTTGTCTCGTCAACATAACGAGGACGTCGTGTATCGTATAGTTTTATTTGCGTACTCGAAGCATTATAATAATTAGAATGCGGAAATGCATTATACCGCATCATATCAACGCATATGTACATAGTTACGCATATTGTAATTTCCCTGAAAGCGCGCACCTATTACAAAAGCGCTTTGAGAATAAAAAATTTCTGGAAAATATCTGAAAAATTTGTAATCAGTTAATGGATTTTTAAAAAAATTCGTTTATTTTCTAATAATATTTTTGTTGACGGTTTTTTATTAAATATTTTATTAAAGAAAAATGGTTTAAAATAACAAATAAATTTTTAAATTTCAATTTAATGCATTATAGTGTCTATAATTTCAAAGTATGACTCAATGTGTGCGCATGTCTAAAAATTGTTAACTTTAAATTAAACATAATAAGCTCTATGCAGCACAATTATGGTATAATTAGAATCAAGTTAATTATTTATTTATAATTACAATTTCTAATAAAACATGCTCAAATTGTAAATCCAGATTAGCAACAATCATGTCCAAGTTTGAAATTATGCCCGTTAACTCATTGAGATGATTATAATTTTATGTCCGATATTCCAGCTTTTTCCACAGATTCGCGGAAGAACGTATGTGGTGTCTTGAATATTTCAAAAAAAGGAAAAACTACATGCACACTTGCCATGCAAGACTCGACTCGACCATAAATCCACGCACGACTAGCGAGCTTGGTATAAAAAAGCACAAGGTGTAATTCGATTCGCGAAACAGCAGAGAAAAGTAGATAGCCGATTGGCGAATCGTAACTTTTGCGAGCAATTTTCTGCGCGCGTTCGCAGCAATAAATCATTTTGCGTAACATTTTCGGATCTTGCGCGGTCAAGAAAGAGGGTCGCTAGGTATTATATAATAATCGCACGTAAATAATGGTTGCAGCTGCCTACCGCCAATATAAAATTTTTTGTGAATATTATATTGGATATTTTAGAACAGACTCTTTCTTTCACAATATCTATGTAATATGAGCAAATAATAAATTTTAAAATAATTCAACCTGTTTCCGACACGTAAATTTATCTTTAAATATTTAAGAAAGTTCGATTATAATTCCCCGTATGGGACCGTGGTAGAATAGTCCCATGGTATGTTCTGCCTGTCGTAAGAGGCGAAAAGAACAAGTGATAGGGCAGCAGCTAAGTCACTATCAGGTCGAGGCTGGAGAGGTCTGATACTGAACACTAGATTATAATGGCATTAATAACGTTTCGATAATTTAGTTTCGACAAATAAATATATAAAAGTGCAGAAAAATTTATTGCAAGTAAAAGTTAGTAAAAAAAATTAGTTTTAAGCACTTATTTATATACATTGACTACGTGATATAATATAAAAAATGCAGATATAACAATTAGGTTTATAGAATGAACGATATTGTTTACGCACTCGTGATTATCCAAATATTCAGTTTTACAAATTAAGTTTTGCAGGAGAATAAATTTTCACGCTTTTATTTTTGATTTAAAACCGGACTATTAAGAACAATTTGCTCTTGGAATGACCGGCTTTTATTTTGCGACGTTTATTGCGATTGGAAAATAATAGAAAAGTATTGCTAAAACGACAAATTTGCCGATAGTCATGCGAGCAAATATTTTCGGCTCGTACATGCCGCGCGGTAGTAATTGAAGCTTAATAGTCTTGTTAATAGTGCCAAATTGTTGCATAACCGCATGAAACGATTACAAGAATCATAAAAATTCAGTCATTTTGGAGATTTTTATTAATTATGAGAAATTTATTACAGATTTTTCGTTCAAGCTCAATTTTTAAATAATCTTTAAAACAAGAATTAGAGACATTTAAATATAAATCTGCAATATAATATTAATTAAAGTTTTGAACACAAGTACACATACAAATATATATACACACACTGATGGTTTTTATTTTTAAAACTTTACTTAATATGATACACAAAGTATACATTATTATATTATATACATTATTGTAATTATAGCCATTTCCAGTAATTTTGTAAAGAATTTAATATATAATATATTACTTAATAATTTTATTTCGTATTATTTAGAGACTTACAAATAAAAATTTTCTCAAGAGAGAGGTGGTAGTGAAGCTTTTAGGTATCTCAGATCAGAGCGCTGTCATCAATCAATAATGAAATCGTCAATTAAATAGTCGATTGACAGTCAAGATATTATCTTTAAGTAATTTTTCCGTAAGCAAACTCGTAGTAACGAAGTATCTACTATCGCAACAGTTTGTTCAGATTACAATTAACAAATGTATAGGCGCGCACACGCGTGCGCAGGCGTGTATACGTGTGCGGAATTGGCAATCGGTACGCAGCCTATAGGCCACACCGGTATTTCCCGACCGATTGAAATACGGGCCCCCGGTTTCGACATGTATAGCAGTGTCGGCCATTCGGCCGCTTCCAACGGCAAACCTATCGATTATCCGGTCGCGCGTTTCTATCACACTCCGTCCATTTGCAAACTGATTCATTATAATTGTAGCGTCAAAGTGG